TCAACAATTTAGATAGAATCCCAAAAACACGTCAATGTTTTAAATACATCCGTAAACAACTTGCACCAATAAAAGCAGACTTTACAATTATTTCGGGAAAATTTGTTAATGTGATTAGACTATACTTACATTCTTTTTGATTGAGCGAGTTTCTCCACAAAACGGAACAGTCATACGTTCTGGTCAATTACAAGCTTCGAATCCAACCAAAACATGACATTTAATACACTGTACTGAACGCACCTAGTAGTTTGCTTGAATTTGAACAGTATTTCCCTAGAATACTTTAGGTCTTACTTCATCCCTGCACTTTCAGCTACGAAGCTGAGAACGGCATCTCAGCTCGCGAACAGGGCCGTCCTAAGGCCGCTGATCTCCTAGAAGCAGCAGGTGACTTCAAATACACAGCACCTGATGGGTCCAACATCGCCCTAACGTACGTGGCGAACGAGCTGGGCTTCCAACCTCAAGGTGCTCACCTTCCGACGCCTCCGCCGATACCGGAGGCCATTTTGAGGTCTTTGGAGTACAACGCGGCTCATCCTGAAGAAGACCAAGACAGGACGCCGCAAAGGATAGGTTAAGCTGACCTGGACGCTGCTCTGAATATGAAGACATGGAAATCGATGTATACAACGTGGAAAATGTTTACCTCTTATTTATGATTGTGATTTTTTGTATTGTAATATATTTGAAGTTTTCATAAGGAAACGCATGGTTAGATTATTTGAAGTACGACAATTTATTTGGAGCTTTGTCCTGAAAATCGATATGTCCTATGCTTACCGAAAAATGCTGGTCCTCGACAGTGTCTATTCAGCATGCCATGCCACTGTAAAAAGCTTCATATTGAAATTAGGTTTTGACCAAGCTTTCAAGCGATTAACTTGATTTGGAAACCAGTATTCAAATATACAGGGTGTCCCGAAAAAAGTGTGCAATATTCTACCAGCGGTTTCTAGAGCTTAAAATGTAACAGGGACGGACTCAGGTTATTTTAGCCCCAAAATTTTTGTGTGATTCCATTTTTTAAATTCAATTTCAGAATTTGAAATTTTACGGTTTTCTACATAAAAAAGGTACTCTTATTGCATATCGATAAATTGTGCCATTTTTGAATAAAATCAAACTAAAGAATTTGTCACATGATAGGAAATGTACTGCGAATTTAAATGAATTGTGATTATACATAGTTAGCCATGACTGCAAACAAAAGTTGTTTTGATTTGTTATGACTTATTTTGACGTTCAGCTGACATTGTTAGCAATGTAAAATTACTAGATTAAAATCAAAATTTTTAATAAATCGGTTTAAAGTGCCAAGATTTACAGATAGAGAACTGACTGCAAGCATTTTGTGTACGGGTCTTGCAATGGCAGTTCATTGGCAGCCGTAAGAGAATATCAAATAAGATTTCCCAATCACAGAGTACCTGGACGTCGAATGTTTACTGATAGTCACCGGAATTTGTTAAACCATGGAAGTTTTCAGCGCATGCAGGGCTCAGGAAGGCCACTGGAAAATCATCGAATGTAAATATATTGCTTTAAATATGTTTGAAAATAATCCGCAAATAAGCATACGACATGTTTCAGGAAATATGGATATACCTCGATCAATAGTAAGAAGAATTTATGAACACGTATTTGATAGTTATCCTAAAAATAATAATTTTAGACAGGAAGAATGACAAGAATGCAAGAATTACATCCTTATCATTTTAAACGGGTGCAGCATTTAACGGAGGCAGATTTTTTATCACGAATCGAGTTTTGCCTGTGGATGAAAACACAAAATACAAATGAAAACACTATTCCTAGAATATTATGGTCGGATGAGTCAACATTTACTAGGAATGGTGCTTTTAATTTCCATAACATGCTTCATTGGTCAGATGAAAATCCAAAAGTTGTTCGCCGTACAAATTTCCAACATGTTTTTTCAACATGATGGCGCCCCTGCACATTTTGGACGCAATGGTCGAAATTGGTTGAATGTCAATTTTCCAGACAGGTGATTAGGCCGAGGAGGTCCTATAGCGTGGCCGCCACGTTCACCTGACCTAAATCCATTGGACTTCTATTTTTGGGGGTCATTAAAAGACATAGTTTAATCGACTGAAGTAATTATTCAAGAAGATTTACTTCAAAGAATCCATCAGGCTGCACATGAAATAAGAAGAAAAAGGTTTTCCACTTTTCGGGCTACGCAATCATTAGTTCGTCGAGCGAGACTCTGTATCCAACAACATGGGAATTTATTTGAACATTTATTGTAAAGCTAGTTTCAAGTATATCCAACTGTATGTCTTCTTTTTTAAACAAATTTCAATTTCGTTCGTAGAAAAAAATTATTTCTTTTGTTTTTGCCTAAATGTTAGCTATATTGCAATAGAAATATGTATTTATGTAATATTTACCAATTATTAAATTATCTTTTCCGTTGCCATGACTAATTATTCAACAATTCATTTAAGTTCGCAGTACATCTCCTATCATGTGACAAATTCTTTAGTTTGATTTTATTCAAAAATAGCACAATTTATCGATATTCAATAGGAGTACCTTTTTCATGTAGAAAATCCTAAATTTTCAAATTCTAAAACTCAATTTAATAAATAGAATCACACAAAAATTTTGTGGCTCAAATAACCTGAGTCCGCCCCTGTTACATACGCTTCCAGACAAAACTGTCTAAAATTGTTAATATTTTTAAATGCACCATAAAAAACTAGGTGAGAATACCAAATTTTAAGTCTTTATCTCAACACGTTTCGGAAATATTAAGGAAAAACCATTTTCAGGGGAGCCCCTTTAAAAGACCGTAGCGCCCTAGGGGACGTTTGTCGACCTATATTTATATGAACTTTACTTCCTATTTTAAGCTCTAAGAACCGCTGGTAGAATATTGCACACTTTTTTCGGGACACCCTGTAGATGCTTTAAGAAAAAGTACATGACAAAATCATATACTCGTAGATACCTGGTTACTCTATAGATTCTATATTTCTGACTAAAAATATAGTTCAAGAAATTATGTATGACGTAAATTTTGTTTGTAATGGGACTTGGCCCTATTTGTACTTTAAATTCAAATCGCGTTCTTTGTGCTTGGAAAATATTGCAGTGAGTTCATTTCAGGGCATCAAAAAGCATCAGAACTATCTATTTAGTTGATTGTAGCATTTAGTTTCTGTTATTTTTTTTAGTTTTTATATAGAAGCTTGATTGAGCATTTCACTGGGCTCATCCAAAACCGAACCAAGATTTGCAGAGAAAATATATACGCCGGGGCCCATGAATTAAATTTTAATCGTCATGTTGCATTCACCGCTTTCTGCAAAGGCAAAAAAAATGAAGACAATGCCTGAACACGCAGCCCTGTCATTTTGTTCTGGTCTTCACTTTAATATATACCTTATTTTTGCTACAGGTATCACTATAAATCAAAATATATCCGGTACTAAATAATAATCGCTATACGATTTTTTAACGATCTGAGCGCCACGAAGTCGCTTCGAGAACTGCGCAGGCGCTTACAACAACGTTGTGCAAACAGAGATGTATTAATCGATTTTGTGTGGATCTAGTACAGAAGCGTGAGTACAAAAACGAAAACATAGGAATGTAGGTAAATTACGGAAAGATATTTACAAAAAAATATTCTATGTGATGTCAAACAACGTGTTACAAATCACCACCTCAGAAATAATTTAGCTCAAATTTCATTTGATCAATTGATTCACGTATTTTACCTCAATACTGTTTTCCGGTGTAAAAAAATTAGCTGAAATAATCTCAGCATATCATATCATGTCCGACAATCTTTTGGACACCACAATACAAAACATGGTTGGCTATCTCCTGATAGAATACGTTAATCAATATAAGGTCATACTTTCATATTTTATCAGTACTTCATCAGTAACTAATTCCAATCCATTAAAAATCGCAGACCACAAATTCTATAAAACTTTACGAAGCGCTTGAGGCATCTCAAAGCCGTGATTAAGTTCTGAGCAAACACGGCTACACGACAATAGGGAATAGGTATGAATAAACAAAATTTTTTTCCACGTCCTCCTTGTTGATAAACAAGCCCTTATTTCCAAATAAAAGGCTTTATTTACTAATGTTAGCTGCCTTTTTCACAGTGGCTTTATTTATTAGCCAATAACATACGGAGATAAATGAGACAAGCATCACATGTTACCGTTTTCCCCTGTTCTATTTCGTTTCTTGTGACTTAATAAAATCGAGCTTTCACTCCGCTGGTCAATCATTTTATTTATAACCTTGCTTACTGATTCCTTATTAACTGGTTGCCTGCTTTTTGTGCACACGCTATACCAAGACCTGTTCCATAGTGCAGAATGCTACAATTGCATAAAAGATGGCGTGCTTTACTGAGAAATGGCCGAATTTTAAATTCACCTACTTTAGCGGCATTCGGCAGATGGATCTGTTCTGCTTAACGGTGTAAAATAGTAAAATGGGGAAAGTCGCCTATATGGTACTGGCTCCTTAATCGTACCTTGTCGATATATGAGATATTACGCTTATGTGTAAAACATCTTTCACCACAATCAGAAACCCTAAAGTTGGCAACCAGTAATACTAGCAAAAGTTTGACAGTAGCGCGTAAAAATAATAGGTCGATCCTGTACTTTTTCTGCGGAGATGGAGGAAGACTTGGAAAAGCATATTTTAACACTAGAGTCAATTTTTTTTTGGAGTGACTATTCGAGAAGTAAGAAAGGCTGCCTTTGAATTCGCTGAACGCAAGGGTCTTAAACATAATTTTAATAAAATCACAAGGATGGCTGGACAAAAATGGTTTTATAGCTTCATGAGTCGCCATCCACAACTTTCCTTGAGACAACCAGAATCAAGTTCGATCGCACGGTGTAAAGGTTTCAACAGAAGCAATGTTCAGGGGTTTTTCAATATTTTAGAAAAACTTGTTGTCGATCATGCTTTGACTGCTCCGAAAATATACAATGTCGACGAAACGGGTTTTTCTACCGTACAAAAAAAGATGTCAGAAAGTGCTGGCTAAAAAAGGAAAATCCCAGGCTGGTGTCGTAGCTAGCGGCGAAAGAGGTGTGAATACTACATTCGTATGCTGCGCAAGTGCTGCAGGTCAATATGTGGCACCAATGGTAATCTTCAAGAGGAAAAGGATGGCGCCAGAGCTGGCAGATGGAGCTCCCCCAGGATCACTGGTCTAAATATCGGATACTGGTTACATTAACGCCGATTTGTTTGTTACTTGGTTAAAAACATTTCATTGCTGCAGTTAAACCTTCAAAAGAGGATAGAATGCTTTTGGTTTTAGATGGACACACCACACATTCGAGAAATTTAGCAGCCATTGAGATGGCCCGCGAGAATGGGGTTATTATTTTACAGCTGCCAGGTCATACCACCCAACGTTTACAACCACTTGATGTGGCAGTATTTAAGCTATTCCAGGTCTATTATGACCAATCGGTTGAAAAATGGTTGAGAGAACATCCCGGGAGAACAATCGGTTATTTCAGGTGGCCCGATTAATCGGAGAAGGATATGGAAAAGCAGCATGTGTCGCAAATGCCATAAGTCGATTTAAAAAATGTGGTATATGGCCTGTGGATAGAAACGTTTTCACAGATGTTGATTTTGAAGGCGGAGATGTTCTTCAAACTGAACCGAAACAAAAAGCACTAGCGGAAAGCAAGGACGCTGACGATACACCTTCGAGTGATGATGATGTGCCTTTGGCGCTTTTAGTTGAAAAACAGAAATCGTGCGCCACCTTTGAAACTCAACCACCCGATGTTCCTTTCGAAGACATTCTACCAATTCCAAATAGTCCTGGCAATCAGAAAAATGCAAGTAAACGTGCACAAGCGGCAAAAGTTTTAACTTCAACCCCACATAAGGACGAATTAAAAGCAAAGCAATCTACTATCGAAGAAAAGAAAAAGAGACTGGCAAAAAGAAAAATAGGAATAGCCAATGGCCAAATGGAAAAAAAGTAAAAAGGAAAAATGCTTCGTATGGTTCAAATGACGTAGCGGTAGAAATAGTAGAGGATGAGTGGCTTTGTGTTATATTCATGTATAATGAGTGTCGAGTAGAAAATATGATACAATGTTTCTTGTGCAAGCTTTGGGTCCGTGAACTTTGTGCGAGTTATTAAGGAAGTTCTTCGTACTTTTGTGACATTTGTTCCTAAATAACACATCTAGTTATTATTGTTTGTCCTGTTTCGTTTTTTTTTGTAATACCCATCTACACACGAGCGTATTAAAATTTGTATTCTTGTTTAAATACTACTGTTATGCTACCATACTTAAGCGGTACGATATAGCAGATCAGTACGATTTAGGAAACCTAGTGGTACGATTTTGGCATCTGGTTTCCCAAGTCGTACCATTTGCAATGTTTATAAAAAATGTATTTTTCTCTTAAATTAGATAGGTAGCCATAACAAAAGAAAGTAGAAATATGTAAAAATCATTTAGTTAAATATTTGAAATAAAAGGAGCCCCTTAATATTGAAAATGTTAGCTTATTATACATTTTTTGGAAAAATGGTACGATTTAGGCGACTTTCCCCTATTTGTGATAAAGTAAATCAGTCACAGGTATTTTGATTTCAACTGGCATGATCAATTCCGTCTGTGTCCTTATATTTCTGTTTCATTATACATGAACGATTATTCATTCGAAAAAAGAAGGCTATCTATTATTCTAAAAAACGTAGCGGTGCTCCGTCTGAGGTTTCAGTGAACGGAGCTCGGGTACAAAGGGAAAGTTCTGCTAAGTATCTCGGTGTCACTCTTGACAAGGGGATGATTTGGCAGAAGAACACTGAAGCGATATAAACTAAATTCCAAATCGCGTTTTGACACCTCTACCCTATGCTATTTAGAACTTCAAAATTAAGTTTGATCAACAAAGTTCGGCTATACAAGATGGTTATTAGACCAGAAATCACTTACGCAAGTGCGGATTGGTGTTTTCTCGCCAATACGCGCTTGCGTAGTCTGGAAGCTTTGAAGAACAGAACCTTGCGTACAATCACTAACGCCCCATGGTATGCCTCCACTGAGACCCTTCACAGAGACCTTGGCACCCCTTATCTTAGGGCAGTATCGTCAGTTGTCCCTACAATTGTAGGGCGCCTTTATGGCCTCCTTGATTGTCATAGTTTTATACTTCTCCCTATCAGCGCTCTATTTTGAGGTTATCTCACAAACATCTATTTGCATCAAATTGTGCTTTATTTTGAGTTATATCATGTTTTATCAGCCTGAAATTTCCTACAATTTAAAAAGAAAACATATCTTCACAATAGGAGAGCGCTGACGCTGACACGGGACAAGTGTAATCTAGAAATTTTCGAAGGAGGGAAAGGAGTACGACAATCAAGAAGGCCATAAACGCGCCTTAGGCCCGTATCGTCAGTCGTCCCCACAATTGTAGGGCGCGTTTATGGCCTCCTTGATTGTCATAGTTTTCTACTTCTCCGTGTTAGAGCTCTATTTTGAGGTTATATCACAAACATCTATTTGCATCAAATTGTGCTTGCTTTTGAGTTATATCATGTTTTATCAGCCTGAAATTTCCTACAATTTAAAAGGAAAACATATCTTAATAGGAGATCGCTGACGCTGACACGGGACGAGTGTAATCTAGAAACTTTTGAAGGAGAGAAAAGAGTCTGACAATCAAGGAGACCATAAACGCACCCTACAATTGACGATACGGGCCTAAGAGACTGCATCGCATAGCAATCCTTTGTTGCGGGAGTTAGTAGACTACACAGTCGAGGAAGGGCTGCGGCAAGCACCGTGGATAATTAAATCGTGTGACTTTAGGTCCAACCAAAATTATATCTCTACAGGGTGTTTCAGTTTATTGTTGCATAACTTTAAGATTCGATAGAACTTTTAAAATGAATGCATAAAGTGTATATAAACATGGGTTGAAAAATGAATGGCTTCCGAAATACAGGGTGTTTGAATTTACTTTCTAAAATAGTTTTTTTTTAAATATTTCGAACAATATTTAATGTATAACAGTGAAAATTGGTATATAAGGGTTTTTGGTACGACAAAACGAACCATGGGCATAGTTTTACTGTAGCCGCTAGAGGGCGCTCTGTGCTGTACCTGTAGTGTATTAAAATAACCGAAAATTTTTTCTTAGAGTAATTTTTTGCTTTTTAAACAAAAAAACTGATTCTTCGCACTTTTCAACATAAAAAAGCTCTCTTGTGAATTTTCGTTATAGTTAGCCGATTTTGAGATATTTCGATTTTTAAGGTTCAATGCATTTTTAATTATTTACGATAAAATAACGTTAAAAAGTCAGTATCTCGATAATTTTTAGAAGTAGCCTGCAAATATTTTTGAAAATGAAAGCAGGATAAGGTTAAACGTCAATTAGTTGACAGTTGTGTTGTCTGTTGAAACCTGAAACGTTTTTTTGCAATTGTGAATGCAAGAAATTTAGTTTCTTTCACCTGTTTTTTTTTGTAAGTTTTATAAAAATGCCATTTTTAATCTCCAACCAAGAGTTAGCGGATATTTATTTTGTGTATGGCTTTGTAAATGGAAACGCAGCAGAAGCAGCCAGAGAATACGCAGGAAGATTTCCAAACAGACGACATCCAACTCGCTCAGTAATTGTAAGAGTGCATCTCCAAATAATTGAAAATGGTTTTGGAAATCTCCAAAGGGATCAACACATAAATGTTCGTCAGTGCAGATTTACCCGTATGATTCTGCGTGAGTTTGATAGAGATCCGACCACAAGTGTTAGGAGAGTATCTGGTGCCTTGGGAATTTCAGCAAGCCCTGTTGACCGTGTTCTTAGAAATGACCATAGACGTCCTTACCATTTGCAACCTGTGCAAGGACTACAGCCAGGGGACGGAGAACGAATAATCACATTTTGTCAGTGGATTCTTGATAGAACTGATAGTAATAGGGAGTTTTTATGGACCGATGGGTCATGCTTCACTAGACGTGGAGTGGTAAATTTTCATAATCAACATATTTGGTCACATGAAAATCCGCATGCAGTTCGGGAAAGAAATTTTCAGCATGAATTTAGTGTGAACGTGTGGATTGGTATCTACCGTAATCGACTATTTGGACCCTACGTTTTGCCTGCAAGGTTAAATGCTGCGACCTTCTTGGAATTTTTAAAGGCTGAACATGCAAATATGTGGGATGATGTTATGTTAGATTTATGAAGATTGGCCTGGTTCCAGCTTGATGGTTGTCCAGCTCATTATTCGTGAATAGTTAGAAACTGGCTGGACGAAAATTATCCAGAAAGATGGATCGGCCGTGGAGGACCGGTCGCCTGGCCTCCACGATCCCCTGACCTAAATCCATTAGATTTCTTTGTGTGGGGATTTCTAAAAGGAAAAGTGTACCAGACTCCCGTAACCACAAGAGATATGCTAATAGACAGACTCAGGAATGCATGTGATGAAATAAGGCCTTATTTGAATAATGCTATACCACGTTCGATCATTCGTAGATGTGAATTGTGTATTAAACAATTGGGTTTACATTTCGAGCAACTACTTAAGATTTTGTATGTTTGTCCTAACTATCCAATAGCATTTTAGTTGTAAATAATTAATTTAATTTGTTAAAAATAATATTGGAAAATTAAACAAATTAATATTCTGTTTTTTTGTGTTTATTTGGAGTTAGGAATTATTGCTGTGTTTAAAAACACAATCTAAACGATCATCTTAATTACTTGTAATGCCCAAATCGAAAATGTAAAAAAATATTATTTTCCCATAAATAATTAAAAATGCATCGAATCTTAAAAATCGAAATATCGCAAAAACGGCTAACTATAACGAAAACTCACAAGAGAGCTTTTTTATGTTGAACAGTGCGAAGAATCAGTTTTTTGTTTCAAAAAGCAAAAAGTTGCACTAAGAAAAAATTTTCGGTCATTCTAATACACTACAGGTACAGCAGAGGGCGCCCTCTAGCGGCTACAGTAAAACTATGCCCATGGATCGTTTTTTCGTACCAAAAAACCCTTGTACGCCATTTTTCACTGTTATACATCAAATATTGTTCGAAATATTTAAAAAAACTGTTTTAGAAAGTAAATTTAAACAGGCTGTATTTCGGAAGCCACGCATTTTTCGACCCATGTTTATATAGACTTTATGCATTAATTTTAAAAGTTCTATCGAATCTTAAAGTTATGTAACAATAAACTGAAACACCCTGTGTATTCATTTTAAGATCAATTTAAGATTCCCGAATATTAGTTAGCAATGAGGCACCCCTCCAGTTGACACACTTCTTTCTTCTTTGTTCTCCATTCTTCCCCTTTCTTTCTCCCTGACTTTTTCTGGTGTTTGAAAACCAGACTTAAAAAACCAAGACCAAGGGTCCTACGGACCGCTCTGACAGAGAACGACGAATAGATGAATGGTTATTGACTTCCTGGCTGCAACGTCAATAAATATCGGATTGCATGATTATTATTAACATGATACAGTAGCTTCGTTTCAGGTTCACGCTTTTGTGTTGCGAGTTTCATTCTGCTACTACGAATCATGGAAGGAGTTTCTCGACAGTATCGTAAAAACTCCTCCATATTGCGTAAATATGTATAGAAGTCAAGCCAACACTTGGAACACTCAGTATCAGAGTGATATAGATCCATGACTAAATCTGGTGCAACGAAAAATCTTGATTTCAGAATAATAAGTTGCATGTATGTACGCGTGACTATTCTTATTTAATGGCTCAAATGAAGTTTTTCTAGACCTTCTAATTTTTTTCTGTGGTTCTCTAAGAATCATTTAATATGATACGAATTTCTTGACACTTGGTTGCTGCTTCACCTTCTTAGCACTTCACTAGATCCTGCATTTTCATGTGTTGCGTGACTCTGTAGGACTCTGAAGAAGTGCACCTTAAGTATTCTTGTCATAGACCTTTTTTCTAGAAGCACATGTAGCTGCACTATTTCAAGCCCTCCCCCTATATAGCTTTACGTAACCCTTATTTGGTATGATTTACAGCTGCGACATAGTGTTTAAGGTTTTATAGTAACTTATAACACTGGCACTTGATGAATGATGTAACACCAAACTTTATTATATGCGTCCTACATTTTTGGTAACTACAATAATAAATTAGTAAAAACAGCCATAATAATATTATATTCAACAGTAAACTGAGAGGTTCCTTGGACATGGCCTGGCCGGGTTTATGCTGTAGCTTCAAAAACATCCCACTAGCAAGTAAAGTAGTCTTAGTTTAATCTTAAAAGATGGATAATATACTTACAAAATTCAATAAGTGTATTGCAGGGTTATTAAAAGCATGTTAATAATACAGGCATTTGAAAATTGACAGTAATTACAGATAACTCAATAATAAATGATGTTAATTACACCTAAGCTGACCAATGTAGATAACGTTTGACATCTCAACAGTAATTTTGAAATATACAAAAAGCAGTTGTAAATAATACCTATATCGGCACTCTATTCAGCAAAGGATTTTTTGAGGAGATATTTGATACGTATAGCCTGAATTAGTGAGTGACATTTGAAGTAGACAGCTTTATGGTTATTATAGTTCAAGAAACAAACAGCTCGGAGAATATTTCTTAGGCTACAGCGAACTAATATATGCAAATGCACTAACTATTTTGAGATAATATTTATTGATGCTTGTTCAACAAATCCATATTCAGCTTCATTGTGGCAGGTACTGAACCTTGAAAGAAGGGAAACTTTGGCAGACTTGTTTTTGCTCCAATTATAATCTACAATTGCATACATCCTGGATATCAACAAATATGGTTTTATGGATCAAGCAAATTATGATATTAGCCTACATCTTCTTCAAAACCTTCCATCATCGTATTGTTGATATCTCGGATTCGGATTGGCTGCGATGTAAGCCAAAGCCCTCTGGATCGCTGGCGGTATAGGTGGTGGTGTTGGCAAGTGGGCTCCCGTTGGCTGGAATCCGTTTTCGTTCGCGATATAGCTCAGCGCGATCGGCGTGCCATCTGGGGCTGTGTACCTGAAGCCGCCCCTGGCCTCCATGGCTTCAGATTGGGCACCGAATCCCTTCACGTGACCCTCCTCCTCGGCCGAAATGCCGTTCTCGGTATCGTAGCTGCAAGAGTTACAGAATTATGCTTCAATCAGTATGTCCAGGTTTAACCCGAGTCTCAAACCTTTAAAAAAGCTAAGTATATTATTTGAAATGTAAAGCGGTAGGGTTAAGTTTTTCTTGGAAGACTCTATTGTATGAAGTTAGTGTATGCTCTGAAAAGATTGTTTGGATAGGAAGATCTAGGAATTCCATCACTACAAGAAACTCTTATGCCGCTTCTAAGCGGGCGATATTTTCACTTCACTACACTGATCAACAGCCAAAAAATATCCTAAATAAAATCATCAAAATATTACTATTTTTAATGTGCTAAAACAGGAATGAAACTTATTTTTTCAATATTAGTTCAAGTTTTAGAAATACGGTAATTATATATGTTCCTGCTGTGCCAGTGTTAATATACTGTAATTCACAAGAATGCACGTGCTACATTTTTATATTCGGCAAGGAAAGATGATGTAATCGGCATGATTGTGTTACGTTATACATACGTGTACATTATATTGATTTATATTAGCCATTTTTTCCTCAGTTGACTGACAGCGTTCATGCATACGTGTGTGGTGATGTGACTTTTGCGTCTCAGAGACGGTCTATTACTCCACTAATAACAAAGGCATATCAGCTTTATTTCGGTTGTAAACTAGGTGATCAAGACAAACAGTGGGCACCCCATATCTGCTGTAATACATGTGCTTCAAGTCTGAGGAGCTGGTTAAATGGCAGAAAACGGTCTATGCGCTTTGCTGTCCCAATGGTTTAGAGAGAGCCCACAAATCATATTAATGATTGTTACTTTTGCATGGTACCTTGTGTTGGACAAGCCACAGGTATGTCGAAGAAAAAAAAATCGGTTATTAACTACCCAAACATACCATCTGCGATGAGACCTGTGCCTCACAGTGACGAAAATCCTATTCCAAAACCCCCAGAATCCTACACTTGCGAATCAGATCATGGCGATCGAGTGATTCGTCAGGAAGAAGATATGCCATCAACGTCAAGAGATCCTGATTTTATACCGAGCACGTCATGCCACCAACTGCACAAAATAACACAGTCAGAATTAAATGATCTTGTAAGAGATTTAGAATTTCCAAAATGTAAGGCAGAGTTACTTGGATCAAGACTGCAGCAGTGGAACTTGTTAGAAGACGATGTTTCGGTATGTGTTTTTCGTAAACGCGACAAAGACTTAGAACCATTTTTCAATATGGAGAATAACTTGGTTTTCTGCAGTTACATAATATATATATATATATATATATATAATAAACTGGCGGCTTTAAATATAAACTATTACCCAGAAGAATGGAGATTTTTTATAGACAGTTCAACATTGAGTTTAAAGGCAGTGTTATTGCATATTGGAAATATTTTACCATCTCTTCCTGTAGGGTATGCAGTTCACATGAAAGAATCATATGACAATATGAAGTACCTATTGACATGCATAAAATACGATGAGCACCAATGGCATATTTGTGGCGATTTGAAAGTTGTTGCACTTTTACTTGGGCTGCAGCTAGGCTACACAAAGTTTTGCTGTTTTTTGTGTGAATGGGACAGTCATGCAAAGGCACTTCATTACACCAGACAAAACTGGCCTTCGTCAATTCCTAGAACCAGGTCAAAAAGATGTACAGCATATGCCATTAGTAGATTCGAAAAAAATTTTATTACCACCACTGCATATCAAGTTGGGCCTAATGAAAAACTTTGTCAAGGCATTAGATAGAGATGGGTCAGCTTTTCAATACCTGCGTCAGAAATTTCCAAGACTAAGTGAGGCAAAGGTTAAAGAAGGTATTTTTGTTGGGCCACAGATTCGAAATATTTTGAAACATACACAGTTTGAAAACACTTTAACAGGTATTGAAAAAACTGCTTGGAATGATTTCTGTCTGGTGGTCACTAATTTCTTGGGAAATAGAAAAGCTGACAACTATAAAACCCTTGTCAAAAATATGCTGTCATCGTATCAAAAGATGGGCTGTAATATGTCTCTTAAGATACATTTCTTACACTCACACCTGGACTTTTTTCCTGACAATTGCGGAGCCGTAAGTGATGAGCACGGCGAACGTTTTCATCAGGATATTTCAACAATGGAAAAAAGGTACCAGCGAAAGTGGAATCCTTCCATGCTTGCAGACTACTGTTGGACTCTTGGTAGAGATGCTCCAGAAACGATCCATAAAAGAACAGCAAAAAACAGGGCATATAGTGATTCTTTTTTAATATATCCTTAAAAATAAAAAGTTTTTTTCTAAATCGCAACTAATTTTTTTATTTCATTGTCATTTTTGGATTCAGCGCCCCAAAATTAACAAAGAAGTGCACTTTTCCCACAAGATACAATTGAAAAACTAAAATTTGTTGTCCAGTGATCTAGCTGCAACATAGTAACTAGCAACATGCGGCAATATTTGTTGTATGGTCTTTATATGTTTCTTTACATTTTTGACATTACCGACGTATTTTTATGCATTGCTTTCAGATTTCCAAAGTAAAGTAATGTTAGTAATCCAAGCTACTACGTCCTTCAGTCACTCTTTTCTGATTTTTAACCATTCTGATGAGATTCTGAAAAGTGTATGTATCAGACATTGCAAACAATTTTCCCAAGATGTGGCAGACGTATAACTAATATAGCCGAGATATACCGGGTGATATTCCAAGGTGGCTCACCCCTATAATTCTTTTATTATTGAAGATAGAAAAACGAAATCTAGTGGTTGAGTATTAAAGACGAATTTACATTTCATGACATATACACTTGTTTTGACGTACGGAAACGACTCCAACCTTCGGTTTTTAAATGAGACACCCTATATGTTTTTACTTATTCAACATCCTGAACACAATAACGCCTCACTTGTCAATATTTGTCAAATAAAGTCATTTTTATTTTTCGATCTAGAATGCCATGGACTTTGTAAATTGCTTCGCTTTTGATCAAGTACCTAACATGGGAAAAATATGATTTTGAGGCGAACTGCCTTACAGTGGAGATCGAAACGATCATACCTAACCACAAATAATACGTATCTGCATTCGGTATACCTAAAAAATGTAAATTCATCTATAATACTCAACCACTAAATTTTTCTCTATCTTCAGTACCTAATAAAAAGGTTATAGGGGTGAGCCACCTTTGAGAATACATACCTATGCTACAATATGTACGCAATATGTGAGCGAACACTATAATTATTGACTATGGTTACTAAGTGAGAGACTAGTTCATAAATAGCATTGAAACCCTTTTTTAATCCGACTGATTTTACTGAGGTTGTATAATGTTCGCTCGTACCAAAAATCATAACGCAATTTTGGTCAGCGAATTGTAAAATATCGCTTGGAGGTTCAGAGCTCACAATAGCCACCATGCTCAGATTTATGTGACACCATAAAAGCCTTCTTTGTTAGTTGCATATCGTATTCATAGAAATTGTTTTCTGCTCAAACAAATTAAAATTTTACTCAAAGCGACTACATTGATTAATCCCAGTGCAGTCAATTTAAATATGTACGTATTAACCCCGTTCCCACATCAGTTGGCCCAACTATTGAAATATTAGTTTTTTTCTTATCAAACACAAATAATAAAAATGTAGCAGGATGTTATAGGTTTAAAATATTAACAATGAATGTTTTGATAATATATAGTAGAAAACACCAACTTTATCACTCCCTAATCAAATTTGCAGCAAAAAAATAACACATGTTGCAATTACAGCATATCAACCTATTTTCATTTCAATGCAAAGTAAGTCTATAACGCATAGATGGCTGTGAAAAATAAAAGCCATGACAATTGTTTTTATTACTCACAGCTGTCAGAATACGTTTAAAATAGTTTTGGGTAGTTAAGGTTTTCAAAATGGGTATAGGAAAGGTTATTAGTGAGAAAATTCGGTTACTGATAATTAAATTTTTACAGTGTGAGAAATATTGTTAGAAGATATAAAGTAACCGGTTCAGTTAATATTAAGCCACGAGATGTGAAAAAAAGTAATATCACAAATGCCGACCGAAGAGCATTAAGAAGAATAATCGTGAAAAACAGGCGTGCCAGTTGTTTACAATTAAGTACTCTGTCGAGTGACGCTGTTGAAAGGAGAATTTCGAGGTCCACAAGTCATAGAGAGGCCCACAAACTGGGATTCAGCACTTGCAAGGTAAGTTTTCTTATAAAAAAAAGTGAAGTAAAAACCCTAAAGTTGCACAACTTGTTTATAGGCCAAAGAAAAGCCACTATTAACTCCACTGCAAAAGAAAAATCGGCTTAGATGGGCTAAAGAACATAGACAATGGACACCTCGACAAGGATGTGCAATACAATGGAGTGATGAGGCCCGATTTGAAGTTTGTGATGAGTCGCAGTAGAGTTATTCGCAAAAAAAATGAAGCATTCCACGTTGACTGTCTGAAGAGAAAAGTGAAATGGTCTGGGGCAGTATGTCATCAAAAGGAGTAGGAAAACTTCATTTTATTGATGGAAATGTGGATACAAATAAATATTTGGCAATTTTAGAAGAATCGCTTTTACCAGTGGTGGAAGAATGTTTGACATTCTATTAGTTATAGGTCTAAGTGATTTCAAATATGTATTTTTTACGACTAGAGTGTATCTAAATTTTTTTTTAGAAAATAAATTGTTTTAGAAGTAAATAGTTTCGTCATGTTTAGTTTATAACGGCATATGTTGGTACAAATGTTGAAGTGGGCCAACTCAAGTGGGAAGGGGCTCGTATGTGTAACTGTGTCTTTTTGCAGTGGAAAATTAAACGCGCTGGATCCTTCAAATATGCTCCTGCTTGTGGATGTGAGGAATCTGAAAAACATGCTTAGTGATTCTTTACATAATGACTTTACGCCTCTTTGCATACATAACAAGCAAAATACTAAGCCTTGTAAGCACTGGGCATCGTTGTTAGGGGCTATCTGTTAGTAGACAGGTGAGATATACGAATAACATACAACAGCCGCAGTGTTCCGGCATTTAGGCTTCTGCCTGCGCAGCTGCTTCGGTATAAAAAGAAACAATAGTTTATCCATGTAGTTTCTTAGCTGACGATGTTTATTATTTCTAAGCCCTACCTCCATCTGTATGATCCATCAACATTAGGCCCGTCTTGTGTCTGACTGAGTATCCTGTAAAACACACCTGGTTGGTAGTACTGCCTATTGAACTGGCCTGACGTATACGCTAATAGCGCACAAAGTATTATCTGGAAATGAATTCGTATTATATTCTATCAGAATTATGACTAGGCTTGTATTCATATTGTAAAAGAAGATGAGTCGGATGGATATTTCTCGAGTACAGAGACGTCTAGAGTATTGTACCATATATTGGGGGAGCCAGTAAGGAGAAGCATCTTTTTTGATTGGAATATTGCAGAGTGAGCCCTTCGGGCTGTTCAAAGGAAACCCTCGAAAAAATTTGTAGGAGAATGTCACCCGACAAGTATTTACTGTGGTTTATACCATCATGATTTACTGATGATTCCGTCGTCGCCAGTGTGTTTATGAGTTACCTAATGGCGAATGCTATTCGACTGTGGCCCATACCATCAGAATTTACTATTACCTATTCCGTGTCAACGGATTCCGCTCAGATTCCAGTGATAAATACTGACGAACCACAGTAAATACTAATATTGTGACATTCGCCTTATACATCAATAAATACTGACATCCAGCCTACAGAGTCAATAAATATTTCCATGATAAATACTGACAGATTACAGTTAAGACTGACCGTGTGACGTTCGCCTTAGTCAGCAAAAACTAAGTGATAGGGTACCTCTTTCTAGAATACAACTCTACCAAATAGTATACCATCTTTCATTGAGTTTCACCTACACCCACTAACTTCAGTCTGGAAGTGTTTTTGAGTTTTCGACGGAAATATACGGATATCCTTCGATAGGCGTTGAAAGACCTTACTTATAGCTTACTTTGTTGCCAGACATGAACACTCTGGACCCCATATTATTGTATGTAACTCAGAAAGAAGTAAACTTGGAGTATCAGATTTAATTTTATGAGTTTCCAATATTTATTTCTGAGGTAACTGTGTCTTTGGTGTTAGCAATACTGTTAGATGTTGATCGCATAACGTCTCAGAATTATGCTACTGTCCTTTCCATCAATAAAAAAACCAAGTCGCTTTCTTACGCGTTTAAGTAGTAGGTACTGCTGTAAGCTACCGGGTTGGGGAGTTATAATAATATATAAATTTACTTCCATAGCAAACTGGTCGTACGTCTCATTTGTTTATTGTATTAACTATATTTAACTATGTTCAAAGCAAAAATTGTTAATATTGAATTATATTCTTCTGTGGGATTATTTCGGTTTATTTGCGTAAATATGCATATTTATTTTCAATAAACTGTAATACGTTATACGTGAATAAACTTATATTATTATTATTATTATTATTTGTTTTTGGTTGGTCTTTCACCGTTTACACACGGGGTATGTACACAACAGGGGAGGAATTCACCTCAGCCTATTGCGAAGAACTTGCGAACTATGTGACATGTTTGCATTATTGCGGCTTTCTGTATCAATGCAATAAAATGCGTTGGAACTTTGATTTTCTCTAAGTGAGAATGGAGATTTACAGAGACTATTCCTTCCACAGACACTGCTACTGGTATTATGGAGACCTCTCATAGTTTCCAAATGTTTTGAATTCAATGGCAAGGTTTTGATACTTTTCAGCCTTGGTGTATTCGGTTCTGATTATGTTTGCTGTGAGTGGCACTGCGATATCAATTATGTATGCTTTCCGTTTATTTTTATCGATCAGTAGCATGTCTGGCCGGTTATAGTCAACTGTTTTATCGGTTATGACTGGCCTGTCCCAGTACAATAGGGCCGACTGATTCTCGAGCTAACGTGGAGTGTATTATTTTGGCTACTTGATTATGCCGGGATAAGTAAGCACTATTAGCCAACATGTTGCAGCTGGAGGTGATGTATTCTATTGTTTCACCTGGCATATGGCATTTTTTAAATACGCCGTGTGTATTCAGGCCTAGTATATGGCGTTAGTTTCTAGTTCGAATAACTTTGTCCTGAATAGCATATAGAAAACCCTCCGATTCCGGATGTAGGTTGCCTTTCACAAAAATTGATAGTGAGGATTTTTATCAATTCCATCTTTTTCAAGTGTTACAGGATATCTCCCGTGAAAGGCTTTCGCTTTTCATCTGTTGAGCAGGTCAGTCGACGTCGGTATTGATCGATCTGGGGATTCATGATTTCTGCCCAAATTCATGGGGGTGATGTTGCTGTCCATGTAATGCTCCTAATGTTTTGGCCATTGATGTTGCAAAAATATCGAGGAAGCTTGGACACTTGCTCTTTGCAAAGACGCTCAACATTTATCAGTCCTCTTCCCCCAAGGGCTCTAGGTATGTATACTCTTTCCGTGGCAGATTTTGGATGTAGCATACGAAATTTGGAGAGTAATTTTCTAGTTTCTCGATCGATTTCAGCTAGGTTTGTATCGCTCCATTTAATAACGCCAAAGCTAAATGACAGGACTGGCGCAGCCCATTCATATATTCCTTAATTATATCAGCCTGAGAGAGTAGATAATCAATATCTTTCATTAATCTTATTCAACAAGGGTGATCATATTGTGATTATTATTATTATTATTGGATTATTATGGAAAAGTGCTCTGTTTTTGACAACATGCACTTGAACTTAGTAGAACTGAGTAGATGGAATATCGAACTTGGTGTTAGAGTTACAAAATCCTTTATTCCTTAATTTTAATGATTATTCGATTTTTGGTGTTTGTTGGTCTAGCTTTATAGGGTACTTCTGGAAAACATTATCTTTTGCATTTACCGACTGCATTAACGGCGTTGAGTGACTAAGCAAGACGATTAAAAAAGGCAATATTTATAAGGCAGAAAGTAGATTCATTACTAGTCAATTCATTCAATAATACTAATACCCGTTTTACAGTCAGCAAGAGCAAGATAAGTGTTGATCAGACTAATGCGCACTGTCATTTCCTTGCGACAGCTTTGAACGAAAATCAATCAGCTGGACTTTTCATGTAAGCTTGTCTGCAATCCAGGTTGAATAGTTAATAACCTACAAGTGCAACCAATGCAGGCCAATGTCCCTAGATCGGTCCAGAGGTGTGTGTGAATATATTTAATTTTACAGGAATACGTTTAAATGTGTTTTGATGTTAGACGATCTGCAATTGAAACTAGTTTTTGGATATTAAAATCATGTGTTCTGAAGATTAAAAAACCAAAACCGAAAATTATGTTAGGAGTGTGACAGCGAATATTTCATTCGTTCACAGTCGAGGAATTAGGGCCGTCTTGAAACTTCATCTGATTGAGTGCAACTGAAGGTGACAAAATCATTGTATGGAGAAAATTGACTGCACATTTTTTATTGGAACTTTTACTTTATTGATGTCTTAAATATTTAGTTTAGTTAGTTCGTTATTATCTTGTTTTTTGCAACAAAGTAAGCACAGAATGAAAGAATAGCTCCTTAAGGTTAGTTTGATGCAAAGAAGAAATTTAAAAAAAATGTTACATGACACCTTTCTACACTTGTGTCTTCAATTGTCTTGCAGACAAAGCAATGCCGTCGTGCAACTGAAAAATATTGCTTGCAATAGTCGTGCGAACTATGAAACGGATTTAAAAGCTCTGATAAGATGGGTTCCTCTTACCGAGATTCATGGTGTTGAAGTTAAGTTTAAACGTTATACCTTTTGAGTGTAAAAAAGCATCGACTTAGGCGCAGCACTAGCGGTAGAGAAATATAAAAAAAACTACATTATTGGCGTAGGAAAAAGGATTATTTTAATAATTACTCAAGAAAAAAAATTCTTGTACACCATTAGCTGACCTAAAACATCTATTGCATTCTCAGATGAAAGTATTTTAAAATTAATTTTTTTTGAATGACATTAAAAATTATATGTTGTGTATGAAAGGATCGTTCTCACCTCACCACAATGCCATTTAAAGATTGATAATGGTTTGTTCTTAAAAAGCCTAAGCGGTGCACAAACTTTCAAAATCTTGGTAGTGGGACATTTTAGAGCCAATGTTAATAGGAATTTTTTAAGATACTTTTAAGTTATATACTTTCTGATTTCAGCATTCTTATTGTGTTTTGGAACACCCTGTACAATAAAATCAATGCTATTACAAGTCGTCAACTGCATTTGCGTTCATATTATGTATGTGATATTACAATCTGGTACTACGGTCAAGAAATTTAGACTCAAAGTGTTGTGATCAACTGCACAACCCAAGAAGTGGTCAAAAGACAAAGATTTTGGACGACCGCTGTGAAAAATAAACAGTGAACATCTTTTTAATCAGCTCATGTTCACCAAATGCAGAAAGGCACTACCAATAAGTTTTGTCATGGACTTTTCCGATTTCCTGTTTTTTTTTGTATTAATAAAGTATCAGTCAAATGGAATAAGAGATGGATTTTGATGTTGCGAGTCGAGTGGCCAATATAAAACCTTAGCTATGAGGTTTTATGTTACGTACTTTCTGATTTCAGCATACTCTTATTACTTCTTGAAACACCCGGTACAATAAACTCAATGCTATTACAAGACGTCAACTGCATTTGCGTTCATATTATGTATGTGATATTACAGTCTGGTACTACGGTCAAGAAATTTAGACTTAAAGTGTTGTGATCAACTGGACAATCCAAGAAGTGGTCAAAAGACAAATATTTTAGACGAACGGTGTGAAAAATAAACAAAAATGCAGAAAAGCACTACCAATAAGTTTTGTCATGGACTTTTCCCATTTCCCATGATTGGCCAACATTAAAACCTTAGTTAGCAGCTGGCCACAGTAGGACGATACGTAGAGTGGAACACGTTCATTCCAACTACCTTTGCGGCTGTTTAAGCTTTGAATTAGCTAGCCAAGCAACAACAAAAAAAACCACCCCTTTGACAGTACTACTATAACTGTAACTGCGCTGTCCTACGTTTCATTGTTCGTTCAGCCTAATAGGCTCTAAAATGCGGTGCACGCGTTCCAAGCATGACTCAATCCACTTTCTTCATAGCACAAATCCCAAAAGGCTTTCCACTAACGCAGCGGAAGCATTGCACGCACAGCAAAAACAGAGCTTGATATATCTCCCTCCTCCACCACAAGCCACCAATTTCCTCACACTCACCACAGCTCTCATAATTGTTATCCACGGGTCACTACGATGCACTAATCTAAAGTGTATCAAACCTAGTTTATATAGCCAGGCGTACCCGCCAAGAAAATATCCATAAGCCCACCATCATCATTCCCGAGTTCATCTCCGTTTTTCGATGCACCTTTTTTTTTTCGTTTGATGATCGCGGAAAGGTCAGCGATGGGCGAGTCTTCCTTCATATTCTGTTATGATTTAAATATTAAGCTGCATAATTCTAGCTTGTCGCTCATTATCCTGTTAATACAGATGATTAGAATGCTCGGACCAGCCTTATGCGCTTCCATTTGCATATTGAATATGCGTTTCTTGCATCCTCATGGGGTTAAGCTGCGATTACATCGGCTTGCTAACAAGATGTGTCACTACATAAGTAGCTTTGGATGATTTAGATCTTGTTTCCTGTCATTAAGTATTTGTATATTGTATCAATTGGCTATGAAGGCTCAGATACTAAACTGCAGCACTTCAGCGCTTTATGTAGGTATTAATTTGATAGCTTTAGACAGCATACGAACATTTAAAGTCGCGACGTTACTGCTCTGATACACATATATAATGGTTTTTATGGCATCTTAGGGATATCAAGGAAGAAACTTGACTGCACTTTGCAGCTGTATTCTGGCCACAATAATCTCTTTTCTTAAATCTGCTACTTAGCAACGGTGATCTGCATGTTAAAGTTAGTCGCAAATCCATTTTTTGTTGGACCACTCCGATTTGGTGGAAACTTAAGTCAAGATAAAGTTACATCTGACAGTGCATCTGCTTAGGGCAGTTTATTTTGTTCCAATTTCACAAAGTTGTTAGGATCATCATTTCCTTGGTCTTCCATAATCTCTTTTGCCTTTTCAGTCGTTACGAAGTATTAATTAGACAAATATTTCGTTAGTCATTCTTTTAACGCGTTGCCTCCACCTTTCTCTGTACTCATTTAGCTCACTTTTATCAATGTCATTCCCATACTTGTGTAGCTAGTATTGCAGACGAAATACTTAAGGTAATAATAATTATTGACTCTCTAATAGACGTAATAATATATGCAATGGATTCGTCAAGCCAGATCTAAATAATAAGAATAATAGAGTTTCTTAATCATCAACAAACGCAGGCACACTGTGTAACCATTTATCTAACGTAAAATGTTTTGAACTGCTTCAAGGAGGTATAGTCAACGCCAAACAAAGTGGCGTGCACGTCATCAAGGTGGGTGTGTTGAAAAATTTACATTGTTGCCAAACTTTTTGTAAAATTTATTATTTACATATCTAGGTTTATAAGCAATATTAACCTCAAATGAGAACAAAAATAATAGTATAATAAAATTATAGATCTGTACTTGCATAATCATTAAGTATGACAATTATTGATCAGATGACACTATGTAAACTACCATATTTAATTGATAGCTTAAAGGTACTGAATAAAAATCCAAATGGGGTCCTCCAAATTTTATGCATGGTATTTATTTTACAGAATTCATACAGAAAAATGCATTCTAAAATTAGGTTAGCTACTGGTGTAAGCTTTTTCTGTAAAGTTAGTCGGAGTTTCTTTCTTCAGCGCTGTCTGAATCTGAATCCTCATCACTCTCAAAGTTGATTATTAAAGGTCTGGTCGATCAAAAATTCGTTCTCTTTCATACCATTTAAAATTTCTTGCTCAGTATGTCGAACACTATTTTTCCACATGACTGGGGTAACCGTTTGTAGAGCCTCGTTCCACATATCCAAACAGTCTTTTTCACTGTTACCATCTCTACCAATATGTCTGTTATAGTAACCTTTTGCTATGCCCCAAATTAACTCAATAGGGTTAAACATACAATGGTAAGGAGGCAGACGAAGAACTTTGTGCCCATGTTGTTCCGCCAATTCATCAATCACGTATATTTTAGGTGGTTTTTTTCTAAAAAAGCAGTTATTTTAAGAATAGGAATAAACAAAAGAAATATAAACTGTCAACCAAAATATATATAATTAAGAAGCATTATGTACCGAGCAACAATACTCAATAGCTCCGTTTTAAACATTGTGTTTAAAAATGGTATGTTTTGATTTGTCAACCAGTCTTGGATATTTTTTTTTGTCCATGCATTGTTGGGCACTTTGTTCAATATCATGCTGTGATAAGGGGCGTTATCCAGTATAATCATAGATGGACTCTCCAATTTTTCTAATAACTGATGTTGAAACCATTTCAAAAAATTGTCCTGGTTCATCTCTCCATGGTAATCGCTCAATTTTGTTTTCGAAGAAAATATCGCTTCACTACCCTCAATAAACCCATTTTCATTTCCAGCATGTAATATAATGTATCTAAAATATATTAGTTTTAAATTTTATAGTGCAAATTGTGTAAAAGTACATACCTTTTACCATCTGTTTTAATAGCTTTCACGCTTTTTTGGTTTCCATTTTGCCAAGAGCGACCTATGGTCCCATTTTGAAATATCCAAGTTTCATCGAGGAAGACAAACTGGTATAAGGCCTCAACCTTGGCTTGATTGTATTGCCTTAGAAATTCCACCCTTTTCAAAGCTATACTTGGTAGTTCCATGAGCCCTCGTCGCGGATTGTCCTTAAGCCACTTAAATCCAAGATCTCTAAGCAACCGCCTTAAAGACGTGGCACTACCATCAAATAATGCCCTATCTCTTAATCGAGACCATAAAGTTTGTATCGTAACTTGTTCTTCTGAAACCATGTGTAATATGACATTATAATTTAGTTAACAAATTAATGCAAATTTCTGATAAGTTATTATAATAAGATCTTACTTTTGTGATACATATTATAGATCACTTCTCGAATGGCACTTGTATCCAATGTCGCTGTGTTGGTTACACGCTTAATATAACTCCGCTTTTTCTTGGGCGATTCTAAATTTGCATCACTTTTCACACCCTCGGAAATACGACTAACTGTCCTTAAACTAATTTTTAAAGCAGCAGCAACACGCTACAAAAATGAAATAAAATTTCACTATTATTAATATACATTACATATAATTATTAGTAACCTACCTCTTGAACAGCATTTAAAGGCAACAAAGGCCCGTTGTTGCCCCTTTCTTGCTCAAAGTAGTGCATTAACGAGGCCACGAGTTCCTTACACCGACTATTTAACTGTTTGGGCATCTTTATATACCAAAATTGCCTTTATCTACTCGTAAAATGAATAATTTTGTTTTGAAACAAACAGTTGTTGATTTACAGTATGCGGGGCCAAAGGATTTATAAAGATTTGAAATGCCACAAATTGATTCAGTGTCAAAATTAATACAAATGTCAGTTCCCAGTTTAAATAAGTTTCAAGGTGACAATGTGTCAACGCTGCGAAATCGGTTTAGTGCGTTTACATGTCGATAAGTGATTGGAGCGTTTGCAAAACATTTTATTTCGCATAATGCGTCTAAATTTATCAGAAAGCAACTTATGTGATATTTTAATAACAATGTTTATATGACTATTAACCATAATAAGAGAGTAATGACCATTTTACAATTTATATATCACATTAATATGAAACTGCAATAGAGCAATTGTTTGTGATAGAAACCTAGGCATTAGGTCGGGGAATTTTTATCGTGATGACGTGCACGCCACTTTGTTTGGCGTTGACTTATACATAGTTTTACCTCATTAGGCAACTTGTATATTTTGCGAAAGGCACAAATTGATTATACTTTTGCCTACCATGAAATTTGTGCAGATCCTTGAGTAGCATGAAGTTATCTTTGGTCTTGTTCATGTATTTTGCCAAGTCGTATATGATAAAAGATGGCAGTGTTAAATTTTGTGTTGGAACTGTCGTACACCTTATCACTCTTTTCCCTTTTCACCTACTGGTCTTCGTAAGTTTTTGAGCATGTCTGACTGTGAATTCAAGTTAGAAACCAAATAGCTACAATAATATTTAAGGCTAGGCACTCATTCAAATATAAGGCTCTTCTGAGACGTTCCGTGTTGAATATTTTGTGAATTTCGAAATGATGTTTATTTTAGATTTAGGTGGAGATGCTGGTAAGAAAACAATTTATTTGCATCATCTGCATATAACGTGAAGTTAGCCTGCCCAAGAAAAAGTTATATTTCATCACATCAGATTTTACCTCTCAGATAAGACTGTCACATTTCCTTGGTAAACGCACATACTGGGTTCATGTAAAGATGACCGAATCTAGGCGTATGCTGGACTAACTATTCTATACTGAAGTATTTATTCAGAAACTCTTCGTGATTTACACAGTCTAAGGCCCTGCAGAGATTACATGTGATCAACCATTTCATCATCAACCACTATGTTTGAGGGTACGGGATAATTATCCTTGAAGGTAATTACTGTTGTCATCTTTGGAGATAATTTCGGATTATATTTTTACACAATATACGAGGGATGTCTTTTAAGTTTTGCATATAGAAACATAGTAGGCCGCGCGGATCGAACGTCAGTACTGAATCTTAACCTCACTCTTTAGTAAACTTAAATTCGAAGTTTCACAACAATAGGTGCAGTGTTCTCACTACAGTGAAGTGTCACCAAGTCATTAGAAAAATGGAACTCAACCGAGAACATTTTCGCGCTATAATTTATTACAACTTTCAGAGACAATTATCGCAACAAGAATGCCTTGCTGAGTTACTGTCTGTTTTCGGCAACGAAGCGTCACCCAGGAAAACGTCGATGCTGTGCGCAAACTCATTATTGAAGAAAGACATGTGACATATCGCGAGATTGAGGCGTCCTTGAAGATCTCAAAGACCTCAATAAAAGAATTTTACATGAAGAATTATGAGTAAGAAAATTAGTTTCTCGTTGGATACCCCACCTGTTGACTGAAGAGCAGAAAGCAGCCAGGGTTAATTGGTGTCAAAAAACGCTTGACCGTTTCAATTTCGGAAACTCAAAAAATGTGTACAGCATTGTTAGTGGTGATGAATCGTGTATTTACTGTTATGAACCATAAAATAAACGACAGTCGGCTGTTTGGGTGATCCAAGGTGACGAAAAGCCAACGAAACTCGTCCGTTCTCGAAGTGTTTCGAAAAAGATGGTCGCGACATTTGTGTCAAAAGCGGGTCATATTGCAACAATTCCTCTTAATGAGCAAAGAACTGTTACTGCGGATTGGTATACCACCATTTGTTTGTCAAAAGTCATCACCGAGCTTCGAAAAATCAACCCCGAAAGAAGAATCATCCTCCACCAAGACAATGCAAGCTGGCACACAGCCCAAAAAACAAGGCAGTATTTAACGGAAGAAAATGTGGAATTATTGGACCATCCTCCATATAGTCCCGATCTAAGTCCTAACGATTTATTTTACTTTACTTCCCCGAAAATTAAAAACAGACTGCGTGGTCAAAGGTTCCAGTCACCAGAAGAAGCAGTTGACGCATTTAAAAATACGTTTTGGATCTGCCAGCAAACGAGTGGAATAAGTGCTTCGAAAATTGGATCGAGCGCATGCAGATGCGTTTTAAAACTTCATGAAGAATACTTCGAAAAACAATAACGTCTTTTAAAACTACCTACCGTGTTGTTTTATTTCCATATGCAAAACTTGAAAGACATCCCTCGTATTTAGACCATTTACTGCTCATTGGAGTTTGTCTTCGTTTTCCTATACTATTATTACCATCTGCAAATAGAGCATTAAAGTAACTGCATCATGTAGCTTTATGTCCTTGTATTCAGTAGATCTCCAGTCATTTAGGACGTCGTCAATATACAGGGTGAGTTTTCAGTGTAGGCTTAGACGATAATTCCTTTATAAGTGTGGTGTCTAAAAAAGATAAATACAAAAATTCCAGCTCTCAATATGCACCTGATTTGGAAAATATTTTTGTTTTCACAGAGTGATTCATAACTGTATGCATTTTTTGGATAGAAACTTTTAATTGCACACTCAGATAAGCCTTTTCAAATGAGGCAATTTGATATAACATTCTATAGGGTTCTACTTTAAAATTGGTCATGTAGTTTTATATACTTGTATTCAATAAATCTCCAGTCTTTTAGGACGTCGTCAATATACAGGGTGAGTTTTTAGTGTAGGCTTGGTCGATAATTCCGTTATAAGTGTGGTGTCTAAAACCAAAATAAACACACAAATTTCAGCTCTTAATATGCACCAGTTTGGAAAATATTTTTGTTTTCACAGAGTGATTCATAACTGTATGCATTTTTTGGATAGAAACTTTTAATTGCACACTCAGATAAGCCTTTTCAAATGAGGCAATTTGATATAACATTCTATAGGGTTCTACTTTAAAATTGGTCATGTAGTTTTATATACTTGTATTCAATAGATCTCCAGTCTTTTAGGACGTCGTCAATATACAGGGTGAGTTTTTAATGTAGGCTTGGTCGATAATTCCGTTATAAGTGTGGTGTCTAAAACCAAAATAAACACACAAATTTCAGCTCTTAATATGCACCAGTTTGGAAAATATTTTTGTTTTCACAGAGTGATTCATAACTGTATGCATTTTTTCGATAGAAACTTTTAATTGCACACTCAGATAAGCCTTTTCAAATGAGGCAATTTGGTATAACATTCTATAGGGTTCTACTTTAAAATTGGTCAGATATTCGGCGATATATTGTAAAAAACTCTCAACTCGCTCGGTATAAGCAAGGCCTGTAATTCCTTCCAGTATGAACCGTGGTTAGCTCAGCACGGTTTAAGGGAGTATCAAAGATCGGCCGTAGTTGTACAAGGAAATTACGAGAGCTTTTTAGAACTTTGTGTTCAACTCGGATGAATTCTTCATATCCGCAATCATCAATTTACCAAGAACTTGACATACGGTGGTCAGTAGGTTCAAGCATAAAAATTTCAAACTGGCAGGTTGACACTGTATGTTATAAGCTCCACTTTGAGCAGGGAAATCCTTTGTTCCAATAGATATGGTGGAATTTTTGATACTAAGCTTTTTCTAGATCGGAAAGGCGAATAGCCCATTTCTCACTTCTCGATGAGTAGTTACAACGTGTTTTCATCGTAGCACTTGATTTATGGATCTTGCGTCACCTACAAACTTCATTTTCCAGTCGCATGAGAAAATGAGTGCAGCTACTGATAAACTATCTCTAAACAGCACCGTATAGGAGAGACTCTACCTGATAGAATACCAAAATCAAAAAGATTTCTGCAACTACACTACTATCTCTGCACTCGGTAACATGTCTAGACATTGACTGGCTGAAAGTTCTACTGGTATTTCTAGCTGGTGACAGCATCCGTCAGGTTTTATTGTCGTATTTTTCTCCCTGGCAGAACTGTATTTTGATAGTTTATTATACAGGGTGCTCCTTAATGATATGCGAATATTTAAGGGTGTGAATCTACATAAGAAATTAATATTAGTTTGCTTTATAAACTATGATCCAAAAATGTTTCCTTAAAAAACTCGGGGTGTTGAAGTTTTAGGAAAAAATGGAAATTAATTAATATTTTCAGAACCGTTTCAGATATTTCACTGATATTAAGTACGTAGTGAAAGTTAATAAATTTTTTTTTCACAAACTGTTTATCCAAACCGTTGGATTGGCCGCGGTGGGCCCCAAAAACGACCACCAAGGTCCCCAGACCTTAACAGTTTAGATTTCTTTTTGTGGGGCTATCTTAAGACACTAGTGTACAAAAGTCCCGTTAACACTGTAGAGGAATTAATAGAAAGAATAGTTGCAGCTTGTGATAGAATAAAAAACACTCCAGGGATATTTCAACGAGTACGCAATTCAATGAGAAGGAGGGCGGAAGCATGCATACTAAGTGAAGGGGGCCATTTTCAACAATTTCATCATTTCGTTGGTTTTAGTGTTATGTTTGTGTTGTCAGTTGTTGCTGTTCATTACCCCTAATGTGTTTAATTTTTCCAATTAAATTAATAATAATTTTGCAAGTTAGGTTTTTATTTGTTTACTCAAAAATGGCGCATCTAAGAAAAACAATTCAGGGGGGATCATTTTTTTTAAGTTGAACGGGAAGTTCAAAAATAACTTTTATTTGGCAAAAAGTCATTGGCGTACTACTTTTTTCTTAAAACATATCGAAGTCAATACCCGTACGCACGCCACTGTTAAAGCTAAACATTATTTTTGCACTGAAAAATATGCAACTTTATCAACTTTCACTACGTACTAAATATCAGTGAAATATCTGAAGCGGTTCTGAAAATATTAATTAATTTCCATTTTTTCCTAAAACTTCAACATCCCGAGTTTTTGTAAGGGAACATTTTTGGACCATAGTTTATAAAGCAAACTAACATTTTTTATGTAGAGTCACACCCTTAAATATTGGCATATCATTAAGGAACACCCTGTATACTGATAATAGTTGATGGACTATTCACGTTTCCAAAATTGTTGCAGTTTATCCGCCTCCCATTTTTCTCTTGTTGCAAAGTTTGTACAAACTGGCAATGTAACAGAGAAAAGCATTACTCTTATCCAGCACAGCCCAAGCAACAGCACGGCTAATTGGTGCTGAGCCTGCCGGTTCCAACTTTGGAGAAACAAATTTTTGAACCCCGAAAGAAATTTTTTCACCCCCTGTTCACATACATACATATACGTATATAAGCTATTTAGGATCATCCATATTTCATTGGAGAAGATTTTAATTTGATTTCGATTATTATTATTATTATTATTATTATTATTATTATTATTATTATTATTATTATTATGATAATTGAGATGAGCAGAGTACACAGTACGATAAGCTCATGTAGTAAGTATAGTGTACGGACACGTAACACAAATACATCAAATAGAAAAAAATAAAAAAGACAGTTCATAGTTATAAAGTTTGTACACTCCTCCAGCTATCATACTGCACTTTGAAGCTATTAACTGAAGTAGCACCAACCACACTTTCAGGTAAACTATTCCAGGTGTTGAATATGCGGTTGGGAAGAAACCACTGTCGGACTGTTGTTTTAAATGGCTCCTTATGCAGTTTGAAGCTGTGTCCGCGTAGATTGCTGCGCGACAGACGGTATAGATGCATGAGGTTGGTGCCCATCAAACCATGACGTATCCTGAACGTAACTATAAGATCGCCACGAAGTCTTCGCTCAGAGAATGAGGTCAGGTTGAGTAATTCAAGGCGATCTTCACAGCTTGGTCTCCGTGCTCCAAAAGGGATACGAGTAGCCCGACGCTGTACTGATTCGACGAGATTTCTATCGCGCAGAAGCACAGTGTCCCATACCGGGCCAGCGAATTCAAGAATTGGCCTCACGAATGCCTTGTAAATGTAGGCGCAAGTGTTGACATCGGATCCTTTGAAAGACCTCTCCAGCATGTATAGAAGTTTCTTGGCTTTTGATGTAACGTGGTGAACATGCTCTGACCAGGAAAGACGATCGTTGACTACAACGCCCAGATCAGTGTGGCTGGAAACTGCTTCGATGTTGTGGTCAGATATCTTGTATGTAAATCGCGGATTTGTCTTCCCGAGGTGAAGGACACAACACAAAGCCAACTGACTGACCATTGACAAACAATGTCAAGATCTCGTTGAAGCATAGCAGAATTTACGACAGTATTGTAAATCTTGGTGTCGTCGGCATAAGCTGAACATGTGGAGGAAATCAATGCGAGCAGGTCACTTGTAAACAGAAGGAACAGCACTGGCTCCAAGACAGAGCCTTTAGGAACTCCACTTGCTACATGATGAAGGTGAGACTGGCTATCACTGACGCGCACAAAGAAAGTACTCCCGGTGAGAAAAGCGTTAATCCACAGTAACAACTCGCCTCTTATTCCCATACATTCCAACTTAAACAGAAGCCTTTTATTTGGTACGCGATCGAAAGCCCTAAAAAAATCTAAGTAGATTATATCAACAGGAGTCTTTGAATGGATGGAAAATCAGGACTTTTCAAAAGAAATCGCTAGATGGAAATTAATAGACATTAATTTGCGTCCATACATCATCGGCTTAACCCTCGACATCCTCATCGGAAATCACTTTCGATATGCTTCCGATAAAGGTATTTGGGAAGCATTATTCGAAACAACTTATTCTCACCTTCTCTACCCATCTGGTACCTTATTTTCAAAATGTTTAGCTTAAAAAGAAAGTTGTGGATGTGTGAATACTACTCATACACAAACAGCCTTTTTAAACGTTGGCGTCGTGGAAAATGTTCATTCACTTTGTTGGCCTGTAACATCTTAGGCGTGGCGATGACTTGCTACCTTAGGCTACAAGGAATCTGTTTGACAAGGTCTCAATCCAGTATGATTAGGTACATATTTCCCATGCAAATGGTCACAAGGCCATTCCTGTCATTAATTTAAATTTTAATGCCTTGGTGCGATATCATAATGTCAGCACTTGCAACGAGTCGCTCTGTCAGCTCGTCATTGTCGGAAATAAAAAATGTATCCCTCCTAAAGGTGTAGTCAGGAATGTTCATCAAAGCGAATATCATTCCGCAACAAGCTCCTGTCGCAGTGAAGTCGACACGGTTGCTACTCTTGATTACTTCAGATAATATTAAAGGTAAGAACTGAAATTAATCGAGGAAATATTTTTGCATCTACTTGGAAAATATTCTGAATCGTTTTTTACTTCCCACGCCTACTGGCGAGGAAGTCTTGTAATCGCGAAAAATGTCAAAATGAGATATCTTTCTTTTATGTTCTGTGTCGTGTGAATCTCAAAAATCAAGTCACTCATTTCCGTCTCGGCCT